CAATCAGATATAAGGGTGCGCATTGATGGATGATGTTGTACGTGAGGAGAAGGATCTTGAATTGGATTCGTTGAGGGATTAAGAGCCAATGTAGGGTGCGAGTGATGTGATCTCGCTTTCTAATGCATGCGATGAGATGTGCAGCCGTGTTCTGTATGTGGAAGTGGGGCTAGAAGACAAGCAGGTTAGTTGATCAATAACTTTTACAATATTCCAAATGGGAAGTTACCAGAGCATTTACGAGTCGTTCAGTAGAGCTGCGATCAAGGTATTTCCGAATTTTCGCAATCCTATAAACACCGAAGCTAGCTGCCCGATTGCCCGACACACCTTACGAATGTGCTCCCTCAAGTCTAATGAGTAATCAACGTACCAAGATCCCTTATAAGTGACGTAATTGGGATGCATCATCATAAGCTCCGTTGTGTACCCCCCCCCCCCCTCTTGAATAAGTTACCTCTTTGGAATAGATAGAATTGATAATTCTTCGATAAGTTTGGGGAAAGTACGCCAAAGGATGAGTCAACAGAGTCAAACATGAGATAGCGGCAGTGTGTCTGATAGACGGAGCCGGGGTTGGAATCTTCTTTTAAAGAAAGTGAACTACAATTCTCTTTCTTTAATAAAATAGAGTTAGCTCCATTGGTTTTAAATGACGCATGGTTTGGTTGTGTCCCTTTATCCCAACTTGCAAGTAGGAAAGTAAAATAAAAAGACGGTCAATAGATTCCATGGATCGAAAAGCGAGGATTCAAGTTTGTGAATGTTTGGTAATAGTAGAGTCCCGTTAGGGAGGTGACCCATGGATTCCTGACCGCCATAATGTCATTGCAATTATTGTGCATTTATAGACGTGAAATACATAATAAAGTATTTCACAGTTAATGATTTAAAGATCGATATATTTTCTCCGTTGACATATCAAAATGAGAAAGTTACGAACTTTATCCAAAATAGTCGTAATTTGCACTAATATTATCAATTCTAAGTCAGTTAGAATATTTTCAACTCAATTTTAAAGAGGAAAATATGTAAAATCCAGACGAATTTGAACGACAACGTTGTTTTGTGTGTACAGGTTCAAGTGCATCGAGTGTGTCGGATGTTTTGTCATCATGAATATTCATATAGACTCTCCGGGATTCTCAGGCAGAGAGAGAACAAAGGAGAGAGAGAGAGAGAGAGAAAGGGGCGGGGGCGGGGAGTAAAAACAACGAAAAAGAGAAAACGAGATTGCAGATATGCTACGTAAATACAAGACATAATGCTCTAACCATGTAACAATTACTTACCTGCACCCGGAGTTACAGGTAGGCCTATAATATGTATAATATTTAGAACATGATTGTGTGGAAATATGACTTAGTCGCTCATGTTATTTGGTTGCAAATTGCTCAAGACTTTCAACTAAAAAACAAAAAGAGATAATATTTCCAGTGAACACCATTGTCATGACTTTAAAATACCCAAACTATATTTAGGAAAAGTTATGGGATCACAATCTTACCAAAATTTGATCGTAAACGATGAGTAAATTTTAGTCAATTTAGCAATAGTTCGCCTGAATTTTTACCTATTTGTTTTCTCCATCTCTGCTGAGAAGTGCCTAAGTAACCATATGCAATTGAGGGAGAGTGGGGTGTCCCACTATGCAATTTCTGTATTTAATCGTTGCTACACGTGTACTTTCAACAAAGTATTTTAAAAGCCTGTTCATTATCACCCATCAGTCTGTTTGATTTGAAAGTACTGTTCATCGTCTGGAAGTATCATACATGCAAATACTTCATCATATTCCACCTTCAGACGAGTAAGGGTGCCCTTTTATTTTTGTTTACAAAGCCTCTGAATATGACTTTCGTCCAGTACTGACACTAGTCTTGCAAGGTATACTATCCTACTGCTATTGTACTCTGAATCTGTTAAAGATAAAGACCAGTTATGGTCATGCGATTGCGCATAGCCAGGATTTTATTTTAGGGGGGGGGGGGTGGTGAGCACGCGAATCGTGCGAATCACTTACAGAGCGCGCATAGCGCGCTCCCTAGGGGGTGGGTGCAGCGCGAAGCGCGAAAGCTTTGACGTTTCATTAGATTATTAGAGAAAGAAGGCGATTCGTTGTACCGTTCTCGACTCTTAATCCTTGTCTAAATTCAGTTTCTATTGACGTTTCATTAAATTATAAGAAGACGATTAGTTGTACCGTTCTCGACTCTTAATCCTTGTTTTAATCAAGTTCCCCTTCCCACGCGCGTAGCGCAGAAGCTTTGACGTTTTATTAAATTATCAAAGAAAGAAGAAGATTTGTTGTACCATTCTCGACTCTTAATCATTGTTGAATTCAGTTTGCCCCCTCCCGCGCGAAGCGCGGAAGCAATGGCGTTTCATTAAATTATTCGAGAAAGAAGACGTTTCGTTGTACCGTTCTCGACTATTAATCCTTATCTGAATTCAGGCTCCCTCAACCCTCCCGCGCAAAGCGCGGAAGCCTTGACGTTTCATCAAATTATTAGAGAAAGAAGACGTTTCGTTGTACCGTTCTCGACTCTTAATCCCTTTTCTTCCTACGTCCTCTTCTTTTCTTCTTTCTCTCTCTCTTTTTTTTTTTGGTCGGCGTTTTTTGTTTTTTTTTTAGGGGGCGACCGCCCCCTGGCTACACACCTGTGCGATTGCATTGTGAAAGAAATGTTCAGAAAAGGTTGATCATCTAGCATATAAGTATTGGTGTGTACTGCAAGGTTCTGGAATCATCAAAATGATAAGAAATTTGGCCCAGTCTTCGTAAAGTTACAAGCACTCTACACAGAAAGATGTATATGGGACTACGCACACGTGTGCGACATCTGCATTTATCTCTCACACACCAATAGATAAACTAGTTTACCAAATATATCAATTAGTAGGCGGTTTCCCGGCAAATTTTGTACCATCATGTATTAGTCAAAACATATTCTTTCACATGATTGGTAATAAGAGCTTCCATTTCATTTTTTGAAATTGGGGCGTTTCCAATACTGGTCTTTACCTTTAAATAATGTTAATTTCATTAGTAATATTGATTTTGCTGAAGTAATCTTGATTTGTGTACAGCGTTTAGAAACTTTTATGTCACAACACGCTATATAATAAAAAGATAAAAAGACGGTCAATAGATTCCATGGATCGAAAAGTGAGGAAGAATTGATTTCTTTGTTTTTCAGTAGTAGATTTGTTGGTGACCCATGGATTCCTGACCGCCAAAATGTCATTTAATTATTGTGAATTTATAGACGTGAAATACATAATAAAGTATTTCACAGTTAATGATTTAAAGATAGATATTTGTCTCCGTTGACGTATTAGAATTAGAAAATTACGAACTTTATCCAAAATAGTCGTAATTTGCACTAATATTATCAATACTAAGTCAGTTAGAATATTTTCAACTCAATTTTAAAGAGGAAAATATGTAAAATCCAGACGAATTTGAACGACAACGTTGTTTTGTGTGTACAGGTTCAAGTGCATCAAGTGTGTCGGATGTTTCGTCATCATGAATATTCATTCTGGGATTCATTTTGGGATTCCCCGGGATTCTCAGGCAGAGAGAGAACAAAGGAGAGAGAGAGAGAGAGAAAGAGAGAGAGAGAGAGAGGGGGAAAGGGGTGGGGGCGGGGAGTAAAAACAACGAAAAAGAGAAAACGAGATTGCAGACATGCTACGTAAATACAAGACATAATGCTTTAACCATGTAACAGATTACCTGCACCCGAGTTACAGCATGGAGTTACTAGCCCATGGTTACAGGTAGGCCTATCATGTATAATATTGGGAACATGTATTGTGTGGAAAGGTGTCTTAGTCGCTCGTGTTATTTGGTTGCAAATTGCTCAAGACTTTCAACTAAAAACAAAAAGAGATAATATTTCCAGTTTACGTCATTGTCATGAGTCATGACTTTAAAATACCCAAACTATATTTAGGAAAAGTTATGGGACCGCAATCTTACCTGAATTTGACCGTAGATGGCTCACTTCTTAGGGTTAAAGTAAACGATATGTACAATGGATCACCTGAAAACGTATCTTATTTGTTTCCTCCATCTCTGCTGAGAAGTGCTTACATAATCATATGCACATGGGGGGGGGGGGTGTCCCACAATGCAATATGTTTAAATAATTGTCGCTACACGTGTACTTTCAACAACGAAAAATTCTTCAAGAAGTATTTTTTGTTAACCTGTTCATTATCACCCATCACTCTGTTTGATTTACTCTTTATCGTCTGCAAATCACAGTTCACATTCAATCGAATATGGGCGCCCAGTAGAAGCCACTGAATGTGACTTTCGTCCAGTATTGCCATTAGTCTTGCAAGGTATACTAACCTACTGCGATTGTACTCTAAATCTGTTGGAAAGTACGATTATTCTCGTTGACATCAAAAGTATTAAAATCAAGAGACGGTGAGACATTTTAATGTTCGAAATCGTGAAACAAAAAGTGCTATGACTAATAATGGAAAATGGAGAAATGGAATAGCAAAATCAAAATGCACGTATTGTGGGCATTCTAGTGAGATCTAATACAAATCGAACCTGAATCCTATCGGACCAGTGACATGAATGTCCCTAATTCCATGAGCAATGTTTTAAAATTAATGAAATAAGGTTATTTTTTTAGAAGGGAGTGTAATTACCGCCTCCTTAAACAAAAACATAAAAAAGAAGACTGTCCCCGATTCAATGCCGATCTTAACTTTTCTCTGACTGGAAGGTGTATAGAGTCACTTAAGTTCCCCAATTTTGATTTGAGCAAAGATATGACTATATAATAGAATTTCAAGTCCGAATATTCAAGATGTTTAAATGTTCATAATTATCTAGATCCAATTGCAAAGAAATCGGATCACAGTGGGGTCATATACGCGATGGGCTACAATGTATGGACTATAATAGAGCTTTAGAGTGATGAATATGGATGAAGTCAAAGGCGTATAAAGAAATATACAATACTAGATCATATGATTCTACCATGTTAATTTATTCAGTCATTATACTCAATAAAATTAAAAATAATGTTTACGTATGATAAAATAGATATAAACCTTTCAATAACTCTAGGTATTACGTTTCCAGTTTTCCACGAGATACATGTATATATATATTTTTAACTGAAAACATACGGAGATCAAATTGTATAAAGCAGAACCACTTTAGTGCTGCAATCTGCATCCTTTGCCCCAGGAAAAAATTTATGGACACATGGGCCCGAATTTACAGAGGAGGTTTGTCGACAAACCTAGGTTTATGTGCGTCATTACGACGCGTTTCGACGCGTTTTTTTACAAACTTTTGTAAAAACGCGTCGAAACGCGTCACATGACGCACTTAAGCCTACTAGTAGGTTTGTCGACAAACCTCCTTTGTGAATTCGGGCCAGTAAGTCTCTATTGATTTTTTTACGGAAGCTGTAAACGTGCTTACATTTTATTTCATGATTTTAACGAGACATTAAACATAGTTTACTGATCAGCCTCCAGTTAAAGGCTTTTCGCTATTCAGGCTCATAGCTGTTCTCTTAAAGTAGAGTTACATTAATTTCAAATATTGATTTAACGTGGATCATTGGCATTGCATGAGAGAAGGTTAGATCGAACAAGTTTATCAAAATGACCTACATTAATAAGTAATGGTTATTGTCAATTATAAAACGGTAATATACCGTCACACTTTGGCACTTATTAGATCTCTTCGAACACTGCCGATATTCGTGACGTATATGGGACCGAATTAGCATAATCAAACGATGTCCCATAACGATGCAGACATGCCTGTTTCGTTGTCTCTTCTTCTCTTCGTCTGTGATTATAATTATCATCATCAGCATAAAGTGCTATTTAAAATGGTAAGAAATTAGTTCATGTTTAAAATCAATCGAACTCTTATAATTGAGAAGAAATTGCACCAACAAAATATGTGGTCATTAGTAATAGGACATCGTAATTTTGCCATACTACATGGTATAAAAATAGATTAGACCACTCCATTCCCTTAATAAAAGGTGACGGGTATACATATAAGGAGGTATCATTATTATGTTTCCATGAGATCTCACAGTACCCTATCTTGATATCATATCTTGCATTCCACCAACAGCTTGAAAATAAATCAATTCCATTCCTATGCTAGAACACATATATGTAGGATGAATATCATTGCATAATAAACTTTCACACACAATATTCTATACAACCGTACACTATTTTGAGTTGGGCAACCACTAGTTGGTCATAAATTTATAAATTTCTAAGCAATTTTAACAAATTTGATTATTTTTACTTAAAGGACTTGATCAATAATAGGGTTGGGAAAAAGTTGCCCAATGTTCCCCTACTTTTATCAAGTTGGGTTAAGTTTGCTGGGGAGGTAATAGTTGGTCAAATATTTACCAGTGGGTGAAAAGAATTTAGCTAGTCATATCTTTGATGTAAGGTCGGAAAAAGACCAAACATATAATAAAGGATAACGTTTAAGATCAGTCGGTCGGACAAACTGGCTCAGGCGACCGCGGTTCGAAACTGAGTCACGTCTTTCGGATGGTGACGTTTAAGGTCGGTCCCCAGACGTAAATAATCGATACACGTCTGTAAAAACGCAATTTGCCCAATATTTAACTGGTTAATCAAGGTTGAGCTTATCTTGTCCAATAATATTCAAAACCACTTTATCCAATGGAAAAAATTGGACAAATTGACGTTTTATTCTAACAAGCGACCATTTTCTCGGATACTGAGGAATGAAACATATATATCAGATTTACTGAACCTATAGCTGGGTAGAATTTACCGGTGAGTTTGCGAACAAAAACATGAATTTTCATGAATTTTTGTGCCTTATGGTTTGGAATGTGTCGATTACATTTATATTTTACAGGGCACAAAATAGGGTATAGCCGTTTCCTGCAAGCCAGCCACTTCTATGACTTCAATAAAGCTTATCTACATAAGCACCGAGGAAAACTAAAACAAATTATTAAACTCTGACGTGAGTCACACTTATAAAAATAGTACAAATATATTTTGTTCATGTGAAGTGCCACTGACCAATTTATGAAAACGAAAATCTTTGTAGTGGATAAATTATTAATATTATTCTTTTCTAAAACGAAATCCTACATGTATATGGTAATATAATGAAGATGTAATCGAGTGACATGCTACTGTAATCCCGCTATCTGAAAGGGGTGAATATCAAGGGATTTTCTCCAAGGTGTGGAAAATAGGCACCAGATATTCGGTTTTGGACCTTCATTGCAGGTATAAAAAACTGTCGAAAGAGGGCGACGACTTCTTCAGAGATAGAAGGTAGAGGCTCCTGCATTGGAATGGGTTCTACGCAGGATCTAACCGGTGAGTTAAAACAAAACACACCTTGGGGAAGGTCAAAGTTAAAGAAGTCTTTATGGAAGAATTGTCTTAGACCAAGGAACCTTTCCACACTGTCCAAGATGACGGCTGGACTTTTAGCAAACCTCTCAGCGTCTAAAACTAGGATGTTTAATCTCGAAACCTCAACTGCCCAGCGCTTTAATGAGCTGGCATAAATACTTCTTTGAACCAAAAAGTGCACCGCGTCTATCTCAGATGATGATTCCAGCACCGTCTCTTCAAAAGTGTCTTCCAATCTATAATTGATCTCACTTGGTTTTGTTTTGTGCAAAGAGCTTTGTTTATTACTCGCACTCCTCTTTTCCCGATGAGGTTTATCCTTCTCTGTTTCCCTTACTTTCCTTTTGCTTGTTTTAAAATATTTCTCTTTGTGAGATCGTATATTTACATTTCGTTTCATTTTTGCACGGGATTCCTGCTTAGGTGCCCCCATTGGCACATCTGGATATTGTGAAAGACTTCTGCGATAAAACTCTGAACTGCTATTCGACGTCAGCACCAAGTATTCTGACATGGCTCTCGCTACAGGATCTCTAACAAGAATGATAAGTTTAATGTCAGGAGAAAAGGCTGCCAACGATTGATTGGATAGATTACGCATATACAGGTACTCCTGGCATTCACCTACAGTTATTTGGTGAGGGAGGGAATACGGCATCTTATCCAGGTATTGGTCATTGTCCTCGAAGGGAACCCCGAACTCTGGTACAACAACATCAGGATGGAATGAGAGAGCACTCTTGAGGGTCGCAGAGCCACTCAGAGCACCACCTAATATCAGAGCCGTGGGAATCTTCTGCTTACAGTTGCGTTTGGCCAGAATCTCTTCAGAATGTTGGTACTGGCTAAAGTTTGAAGTCTGGAGGTAGCAACCATGGTCGAGCGCACGTACCACTCCCTGTGAATGACCTTTGTAATATGGGTTGGACTCGGGTACAAAGGTTATGGCGGAAGGGACACAAACATGTTCGTACCTAGCAAGGTAATACCCAATATAGAGAGAAGTCAACAATATTACAGCAAGAGCTAAAATGTTGCGTTTCTTTCGTAGAATCAAATTGCAGAAGTCCATCTTTGCTTATCTCCTCACATTGATAAATCCATTCCTCACCACTATTCCTTTCTTGTGTCTAAATGTAGGGCTATGGATAGATGACCGGTGATGGCATTCCACACGATTTCCTTGTCCCTAAAGAGAAACGATAAAGCATATATGAATGTTGATATTGCCATCAATTTGTTCCAACAAGGTTAATAGTAGTTTCCTCATTTATATTGGTTTGCTGCAACTCATTTCCTCAATAAATTACTTTAATCTTTATGCTATACAGTGCTGGTCAGATTTATCAAAAATTGTGCTTTACAATGATGTAAAGTCATCAAAATCCACTTCTCCATTGCCACATCTTGTGGTTGTTGAAATAGGTTTTTTGGTCGGTGTTGCCAAAGTGATAATTAAAATCCCTGAATCATTATGGTGTCCAGTATAGGCAAGATTTCATTAATTTTGTGTTCACTACCCCTCCCTCAAGCTGATAGAGAGTCACAGACATTCATCGCATTTCTTGAGCATTCTGTTAACCTGCTCCAATTTGTTATTAATAAAAAAAACGAAAAATTTGTTACCGCTCTTCCAGCATTTCTGAAGCACGTTATTAAATGATTTCATGTGAGTTGTTCATAAATCAACTTGATGATCGATTTATAAAAAAGAAATAAGGTACAGGTTTAAGTTCTTTCCTTGGCGCTTAGACTAGTTCAGATATATCAGTCTAGATTATAATTCATACGGTTCCTTTCAAGAGTAGCCTATGAGGGGTGTCTTTGGAGAGTCGGTCTTTTCTACCACTTTTCACTTCTCAGTATAATAAAACCCATTTACTTGCGCTTCTCTTTCAAACGACTGTATAGATATTTCCATATCAAGAAGGTGAAGAAGGTGAAGAAACTATCTGGTGAGAGAGACAAAATACAACCTGCCATAAAGAACAAGGATGGCATGTTAAAAACTGCTCCCGCAGATGTGTTGAAATGCTGGGAAGTACATTTTAGCGTTCACCTTAACACGCAATTTCCAAGGGACGAAAATGCTCTTCTGACCATACCTGAACCACAACCTACAGATAACCCAAGTGAACCTTTCACAATTGAAGAAGTAGAGACGACAATCAAACTATTGAAGAATAACAAGGCCTGCGGGTGGGACAAAATAGCTGCCGAAACTCTAAAGGCTGGTGGACAATCAATGAGACAACTCCTACTCAAAATAATAAATGCAGCATGGTCGGAAGGTGAAACCCCGGAAGACGGGAGCAAGGGTCTTATCACTCCAGTGTTTAAGAAAGGAGACAAGCTGGATCCATCTAACTACAGAGCTATAACTCTACTCTCCATACCCGGGAAAGTTTTCTGTAGAATGCTCCTCATGAGAATAGAAGGAACCATCGAGAATCATCTGACAGAGGAACAATGTGGATTCAGAAGTCTTAGGGGCACCACAGATGCTGTGTTTGTCGTCAGACAGATCATCGAAAAGACCAGAGAAAGAAGGATACCAATTCACCTGAACTTTGTAGACTTTAAAGCTTATCTGCCGTAGTGTACAGGAGGGATTAGACCGCTCTGCAAGGTCACTGGACAGGTGGTTATCTCATCAACTCAGCTCTCAGTTAACATAAGAAAAAGAGGATCATGGGGGACCAATGGTCACCGATTAGGCATTGTTTGTTATATAGAGGGCGCAAGTAGCTACCAGTAGTGCAGTGGGCCTTTAAAGCAGCATTTGATACCATATAGCGAGAAGCTCTCTGGAAATGTCTGCGTTCCATTGGAGTGGACAAGTCCTTAGTTGACCTCATAGAGAGCATGTACAAACAAACCAAATGCTCTGTTATGGTGAATGGAAAGATAACTGAATGGTTTTATGTCATAACTGGGGTAAGACAAGGCTGCCTCCTCTCTCCAAGTCTCTTCAACCTGTTCCTGGAATATGTGATGAAGGACATCCAACAACTAGAAAGTGGAATACAGATGGGTGACATGCGTATCAACAACATCAGATATGCAGATGACACCACCCTGATGGAACTCGTATTTGAAAACCTCCAAATCTCAACAAATGAACTGGAGAAGGCTTGTAGAAGATGGGGTATGACAATCAATGCAACAAAATGCAAAGTCATGAAAGAGGATCAACAAGATATTTCACTTATTAATAACAACTCCAACATTAAGAAAGTGGAAAAATTTGTCTTTCTCGGCAGCACAGTTCCATCCATAGAAGAGGACGTGAAGAGACGTACAAGACTGGCTGCTTGGGCATTCGGAAGACTGAAAAGTGCCATCTGGTCCAACCAAGATATTTCTAGGAGACTCAAAGTCAGGATCTACAGAGCACTTATCCTCCCTATTGCTACATATGGAGCAGAATCCTGGACTCTCCGAAAATCTGATAGAAATAACCTTGAAGTATTTGAAATGAGGTGTCTCCGGACCATCCTTGGTGTTCACCTAATGGACAAGATTAGGATCGAAGAGATCAGGCAGAGACTGAACATCCCAAGCACCATATGCCGGGAAATCATCAGACGTCGCTTAAAATGGTTTGGCCATGTTCTATTCATGCCGCATCACCGCCTACCATACCAAGCATTCCAAAATTACTTTAATGGACGCAGACCTCGGGGACGCCCTCCAAAGAGATGGAAGGACCAGGTCCAATACGATGTGGGATTATCCACACAAGAGGCAGAGCAACGAGCCCAGGACAGATCAGACTGGAGCATGATTTCTCGTAGGGGAGCAAGGGGACCAGCGTCCTATGCACCTAAGTCAAGTCAAGTAAGTCATATTGTGTTGATGAACTGGTGAAGTAGAAACAGTCCTACTGCATACACAATATAAACTTAACGGCTCGATGCCCAGAACTTGAACCCGATCTATCAAGTATTTGACCTACTCATGGAAGAAAACCTCAAGAAATTGGTTCATAATGAACTTTAGAAATACTGGAAAAGGCCAATAATTGCTAGAAATCAGTTTATTGATATTATACAAGTAGGATATTAAATTTAAATTTCTGCTGTGGAAACTGGTGATAGAAAATATTGACCGGAATAGGCCATTTTCGTAATGTAACCAAATTTAATGCATAAGTCTTTGTGAAGTGCCTCAATACAGATTATTTCATTCACCTGATAAGAATAATAGTATTTCAATAGACAGAATCCGAACTGCATACATTAATTGTTGCCAGGTTGGACAACATGATGGCTTGACCTACCTAGCAACACTTAATATATGCAGTTGCATTCTGACTATTGAAATACTATTATTCCTATCAGGTGAATGAAATAATTTGTATTGAGGCACTTCACAAAGACTTATGCATTAAATTTGGTTACATTACGAAAATGGCCTATTAACACTAATTATTGGCTTGAAAAAGACACAGGTTTGCACGTGTTTTGGGCTTTAGGCTATAAACTTTAACATGATTCAAGACACAAATTGTGAATATCTCGAGACAAATCTTTATTAACAAATCAAATTACAAAAAAATTATAATCAGGTTTTCTAATAATTTTGACCAGCACTTTTATTTCATTATAGCACAGCGAAGGGGGGGGGGGCATATTTACTTAGTAGTTGCGCTTTGTAAAATGATCTAATGTTTATTATTATTATTGCTATCATTATTACGCATAATAGTTGAAACTCTTAATTGAAATTTAAATAAAATTGCTAGAGCCGTGTTTTTATTTCAAATGTATTCGTGTATTGTTCTCTAGTTATAAACTGAGGCAGACCTGCATTAAACACGATCGGATTTTTTTTTTTTAGATCAACATACTGTAGCTCTGCGCGTCAAACTATGAAATATGCAAATTTGACTATAACATAGGCTACCAACTAAGTAATTTATCTACAATCCAATTCTATACACAGAACAATAGGTATTAAATTGCACTTCAGTTGGAGTCCTTGCGATCAAGTTATGTTACCAGCACAAAAAATAATTCCACGTGGCAAATTTCGTGGCATTTCAACAATGATTTTTGTATTTCGATAAGAGTGATCTGAAATCTAAATGAGTCATTCCAAACTGAATTTAGTTAGCCAAACAGCAAGGTTTGTTGGCAAACTTGTTGCTTTATCACGAAAGCACGGTGTACTCATAGCAATCAATGTCAAACCACATAAATCGCAATACGCTTTGCAAGGTAGGGCACGGAAAGAGATTGACAGCGGGGCTAACGCTTCCGGGGATATTATGCTCATCTCAATCTAATCTCGTTGATTTTTCTCTCTCTTATTCTGTTTTTTATTGATTTAGCTCAACTTAAATGAAACCTCACACCAAGAAATAACTTTAGTTATTTTGAGAGATTTATTATATTCTTGCCCATTATAATCTCCGAGATTCCCTACCAAAGTGTATGAGAGGGGAAAAAGCAAGAATAATGTAAAGGTTCTCAGCAAGACATGAGCATGGCAATTTTCTTCATAAAGCGACGTAAATGCGAAGTCGTTTATCGACTAAATGTATTCAAATTTATGGATGCCTCCTTCACAGCAGGACAGGTGTGTGTGGTGATGAAGCATATTTTAATTCAACTGATATTATCCTTTGTACTATAGTACAATTTGTCAGAACGAAAATTGCACACAAAAGTTGGTGCTCCTCAGGGCTGAAGGTTTCGCATAAATTAAATAGATAAATCAAGTGCTATATTTTAGTATTTTTTAATAAATGACTCACAATTGTTACCCTGTTATATAATTATTGTCAAATACTTCTCAGCTATCATTATCCCTCATTAAAAACTAAATGCTTTGTTATTGAATTAAAAAGTCATTACAACTAAAGCTTGGTGTATGATACATACACAAGTTCACCTGGTACGTCACATGATCATAATTATTTGCAAGAAAATGGCTGCGTCCATGTCATGCTAAGATTCATTACATCATGCCAAGAAAATCATTTTCTTCTATATCTCTGGCGCACTTCCGTAAGGTATATTTTATATCAAAGAGCAGAAATGTATCTCATTTTTCAGAATACCTACACTTATTCTTTGGGGGTGAGGCTTCCTTTAATAATTAATTTATCAAAAATTAAAACTTGTAAAAACTAACATATAGAAATCGTACTCATCATTTTCTTCACATACCTTGTCGGGAGTAATGTGAACTGATTCCAGATGTTGAGTAGCCAAGACGAAGCGTGATAGAGAAACTGCGATCGGCTTTGAAGAACACTGTAATTCAATACAAATATGAAAAAAAGAAAATTATTACCTAGTCCGAAAAGATGAAAACTTGAATAATACAGTGCTTCATTTAGGCCTACTATTTAAAAAATGTCCATTCTTGTGTGTGATTACCAACTGGATAGGCAGAGGGTTCATGCGCGCAAATAAAAAGGCCACAGAGAGAGAGAGAGAGAGAGAAAGAGAGGGGGTGAGATGGGGAGAGGGGGAGAGGGGAGAGAGGGAGAGCGGGAGAGCGGGAGAGGGGGAGAGGGGGAGAGGGGAGACAGACGAGCAGGGGACGAGAGAGAAGAGGAATATGACCCCCCCCCCCCCCCCAAAAAAAAAAAAAAAGAAAAAAAAAAGACCATCTTGTAAATAAACTTCACCGGTAATTTTCACAAATAACTTCCCGGAAGCAATTCACAGACCAATCGGCTCTAATATACCCAGTAATATACTAGTTGTAATGTGATACATGTATTTACGAAGACTACAAGCGGCGCATTCAAGTGGCGTGCAATATATAAATGTAGCCACACAATAAAAAACGATATAGTATACGAATATACATTTACATTATATAGCAATCATAAACAAGTGCAATGCACGCAACTGCACATGTTTATGTTTACGGACACGTCTGAGTGTGGTGCATTGCATTCCAACTGGTGAACAATATAGTCACAATTATTATAGTATACAATATAGCAAGCATATAAAACCAAACATTGAGAAACGCTGTATATTGTGCAAGGACATGCACATGTTTATGTTTTTAGACTTTGAGTACAGTAACAAACTCGCTATATAGTATTTACAAAGACATGACAACTACGAACCTGCTGCTGAGAAACTTTGCATTGGATGGACGATGTTAATTGCTGACCATACCGTTGTAGTTTTTGTTGTAATAATTTCGCCGACCACAGCCCTGCGTTGTAAGTACCATCATGCGGTATTCTGCGTTGTATACTATCAATGTATTCTTACTAACTGGACCATGCTGGAAGGACTTTTGTCATGAATTGGAAACTAAATGAGAATTGTGCCTATTATGAAAGCTCACTCAACCATTGTTATCCTTGTTCAGCTCGGCGTTGATTTTATCCAGATCCAGACCAGTACCTCGCATACAGTAGTTAGCTAGTGGACGTCAGTCGTGCATTAGGCAAATCGAGTACCCCTCATGGCTGTACTCACCCGGAGCTGAGCTCGCCTGGAATGTATACCTCTCAGCTAGCTAGCTCCGACGAAGAGCTCACGGTTTATGAATTAAATCTGTCCACAAAGCCGCCGCTAGCTTTATGACATCACCAGATATTACATGGTCACGCTGCACTGCTACAAATGCGAGCAAATGCTTCAAACGTAATCCATGCACGATAATGTGGAACATCAAACCCGCACAGTCTCTTCTATATTACAACAGCGCACGATAAATCGAGTTAAAATAAGTACACGCAACATAAAATCATCTACATGCAGGGCATACAAGTAATTCAACAATGGACCTAACTCATTAGGCCTCTAGTACATTTCATCTCATTTGCAAACATCGATTTATAATTAAGTCGTAAAAAGTACTCTAATATCATATAAACATGACTACAGTACAACACGAAGTTGAAGGCTATTCAATTTAATGCTGAATACAAAAACGAGATTCATTTTCCGGTTGAAATGCAATTTTCTAAGCGAGCAATCACGCTCTGAACAAATTTAATTTCAATTAAACTCTGTGACCTTGATTTCTGTGAATTGAGGAGCCTATTACACCCACATTTCGAAGTACAGCACTGTGTCTGGCGCCAAGCGTATTATGTCGATTCGATTGTTTTTCGACTATACCAAAACAAAATTATGGAGGCTTTCATGAATGATTTCTGTAAAGTGGAATTGGGAAACAATCACGATGAACACTGAGCTTTTGTGTTATGTAAACCTGCAACAACAATACCTGGCGAGACTCGATACAGTCGAGTTGATAATTAAACAAACACCTACGCAATTACTGAGTGTGCGTGAGGAGGTAGGATTACCGAGAGTCCGAGATCATGTCGACTCCTTAAGTCCGTTTATACGTGTGACAGAAAATTAATAAACAGTGGGCCAATTTACATGATTTGATCTGTTCCATGTTTTTGCCCCAGAACTATAAATATTTCAGTGGTTCTTGCGTAGACACGTGAGGGTTCATTAACAAGGGGGGGGGGGCGTCTGTTTATTAAATGATTCTACTCCAGAGTATCTATCGCATATTAAAGCAAACATTTAGCTTGCGTCATTTTTGATTCATTTTGTGTAGCAAACGTGACTTTCATGGTGACAAGCCGTTCCTTTACTCTGTGCATTATATCTCCTATATACCCTCTCCAAATTAATACCCCCGTGGACAATCACCCCCCCCCCCTCAGGACAATTACCCCCTCCCAAATTACTCCCTTGGACAATCACACCCCTCCCCTTGGACAATTACCCCCCCCCCCCCGAAACAAAATTACCCCCCTAAAAAAAAAAAAAAAAATTATTATCAGGGTGGACTTCCCCTTTCATAAACAGGGGGGTGGGGGTGGTGCGGGTAATTGTCCTCGGGCATGGTTGTCCTTTGTTTTCATTGGGGTGTAAATGTCCTTGGGGGTAAATTTCAGGGGTGGGGGTAATATTGTCCTAGGGGGGGGGGATTTCCGGGTGGGTAATTGTTCTCGGGGTTGTTTTCCGGGGGTAATTTTCCGGGGGTGATTGTCCACGGGGTAAGTGTTCTGATACGAAAAAACTCTGATCGAAGTAATGTGTGGGCTTTTCAATATCTACTTTAGGTTACGGTAAATATTTAAAAAATGAGGAATATGGACAAATTTAGAGTCGTATCATTGGTTCAATCATCACTGATCATATCTTTTTATTCAAGTGTCGATCATACAATCACCAATATAATGTTAATACGAAAATGATATACACCCACCTTAGAAACCTAGAAATTTTGTTTTAGGTGATTTACATTACATTCTGAATCAAAATGTGTATGAAGCAGAATGTACTTCAGTGATGCAGTGTGCATTCTTTAATCACTCCGTGTAGAAATGTTATGGCAAAGAGTCAGTTCTACATTATATTTAAATTAAATGAGAATATGACAATTTTTGTGAGACTGCTTCAAATGGAACATTGAAAAAGTTCAAAATCATTAATAATGTAATACATACGCCATGCAACATGTCGGAGTACAAATTTTGATTTCAGATAGGACTTTGGCCAAAATATCAACCGCTCTGCCTCTGATTTCATGGATCCTTATATCATTATGTTTGTTTTAAAGAGAGTTAAACGTTGAAAATGACTGCGTTTTGACATGCTTAAAAGTAATTTAATCAATCATATTCCTAGCAATAGATAGACATCAATTGGATATTACAGTACAGAACTATATATCATATGCGATTATTTCTATTACTTCGATGCTTTTTATTAGTGATTAATTAGCAGTGTTTGATCAAATAACCTTTTGATAATTCAATTAAAATAGTGGCTTTGGAGTTCAGACAAACAACGTCATTAGACATGCACACTTGTCAGAAAGAAACAAAATATTGACTCGTAAATATCACTCAGTGGGCTTATTTCCTCCGCTTCTGTTTGAGCCATTTACATGGGATGATATGATATGTCTGTTTAATTATCTTTCTGACCAATGTACGTTACTGCCAATGTAAAAAAAAACTTAATTTATTTATATGCATGAACTCAAGACAGCATTACAAACCAGCTTTCATACACATAATATATTAATATCGGTCATTATCAAAACGATATGTGAAGGGAAATTAATATGTGACCGGTTTATTACAATTTTATTGTATTCTTGCTATCGGAAGGGGGTATATATCAAAGGATTCTCTCCGAGGAATGGAAAATAAGCATTAGCATATAGGTTTTGAACCTTCATTGAACGGATTAAGAACTCTCGAAAGAGGGCGACGACTTCTTCAGAGATAGAAGGTAGAGGCTCCTGCATGGGAATGGGTTCTACGCAGGATCGAACCGGTGAGTTAAAACAAAACACACCTTGGGGAAGGTCAAAGTCAAAGAAGTCTTTATGGAAGAATGGCCTTAGTCCAAGGAACCTTTCTACAATTTCCAAACTTTCGACGGGACTCTTGGCAAACCTCTCGGCGTCTAATATTAACATGCTTGGTCTCGGAATTACATGCGCCCATTCCTTTATTCCGCTCCCATAGATACTTCTTTGAACCAAAAAGTGCACCGCGTCTATCTCAGATGATTCCAGCACCGTCTCTTCAAAAGTGTCTTCCAAACTGTAATGCATGTTGTCAGGACTTGTTTTATGTAAAAGACTATTTTTTCCCTTTCCTTTCCATATTTCACTTGCAGTTGTGGTCCTCTCTTCCCGATGAGGTGTATTGTCTTTGCGAGGCCGTGTATTTACATTTCGTTTTATTCTTCTTGCACGGGACTCCTGCTTAGGTGCCCCAATTGGCACATCTGGATATTGTGAAAGACTTCTGCGATAAAATTCTGAGCTGCTATTCGACGTCAGCACCAGGTATTCCGACATGGCTCTTGCTACAGGATCTCTAACAAGAATGATGACTTTAAGGTCGGGAGAAAAGGTCGTCCACGTTTGTTTGGATAAGTCACTCATATACAAGTACTCCTGGCATTCACCTACAGTCATTTGATGAGGGAGGGAATACGGCATCTTATCCAGGTATTGGTCATTGTCCTTGAAGGGAACCCCGAACTCTGGTACAACAACATCAGGATGGAATGAGAGAGCACTCTTGAGGGTCGCAGAGCCACTCAGAGCACCCCCTAATATCAGAGCCGTGGGAATCTTCTGCTTACAGTTGCGTTTTGCCAGAATCTCTTCAGAATGTTGGTACTGGCTAAAGTTTGAAGTCTGGAGGTAGCAACCATGGTCGAGCGCACGTACCACTCCCTGTAAATAACCTTTGGACTCAAGTACAAAGCTTGAGACGGAAAGGACGCAAACCTTTCCGTACCCAACAATGTAATACCCAAAATAGAGAGAAGCCAATATTACAGCAGCAGCTAAAATGTTACGTTTCTTTCGTAGAACCAAATTGCAGAAATTCATCTTTGCAAAACCTCCACCTTTGACGAGTCCCTTTGTAAATACAATCCTTCTCGTACCTACTTGAATCCACAGATGACCGGTGATGAAGTCCCTAATGAGAAATCGGAAAATGATTATGAAAGATTAATATTGATATTGCTATCACATATCAGTCATGAATAGCATAGCGTTGTTATCCCATTGTACACGAGCCATTATTGTCTAGCGTAAGGCTGCGCCAGCCACTGGTGTGAATGACGTACGCAATTTGACTTGATGACATCTTTACTGATTGCAAAATGAACATTTTGTTGAGTTATTGGACTCGGATGATGAAGGTTTTTTGTCTGTAGTCTCTTCTCTCTATACATATTCATTTAACATCATTTGTTTATTCCCTTACATCATTTGTATTCATTTACTTCAATTATTCTACCGAATCATTTCCTCCTTTAATCTCCTCTACATACCAAGTCAACCATCTCACGTGGTATGTTCCTTTGTTCTCTTCTCATTCTTTATTCATGGTCTTGTGTGAATGCATTTGGCATTTCCACTTCTTACTTATCATTGGTTCTTTTCTCCTTTTTTCTTTTGAATAGTCAGTCTTACCTTTAAATCCTATTTTACTATTGGTGTATATGATGTAATTCATTCGAATATACTTTGCTTAAAAATGTTCCAATGATCAGGAAGCTGTAATATGATGCTGCGTAGCAGCCTACAATAAAAGATAGACATATCTGCACTGGACATCGTCTGAGTCGGTTGTATTGATTTAGGGCTCTTCTACTTTAAATTGCAGATTTAGGAGAGAGGATTTATTTGAGTTTTGTATTGTTTTATTGATGATTGGTGTTTTAAATATATATTGGTGAGAGATTATTTGTATCACTTTACGATAGGTTTAATTAGCACACGTAATGACACGATCAAAATGACGCTTACTGTGCAGGTGGTAATAAATTCATGGAGCTGCAGGAATATATTGTTTATGCATGCCACGTTCCTCTTTTTTGTAGAAAACAAAGCAAGAAGTTTTAGATATACATTATGTAAATACATTTTCCATAATACCATTGGCTTAGTTTAGTAACGGTTGCATTAAGTTATCGTGAGGTTTTTTGAGAAAGAAGAAAATGGCTGTTTTTATTAAGGTTATGATTATAGAGTATGATTAAGATTTAACAGTAAAAGTAAATTCTAAGGATAGTTAGAGAAACAAAAGAAGTCTTTCCACTAAAAGATTACTATGGCGTTTACAAAGAAATAACAATACGAACCTGAAGCTGGATGACGAATGTAGGCAGTCATCATAAAATGGCAGGACGATGAAGAAGATCTTGTACAGGTATACTGATCACCATACGTGTAATACTTTTCTCATGCAATATTCGGAGCAGCAACGATTACTACCAACGTCTTAAAGCTAACTGGACACACGTCCTAGCTGAAAGAGAGGGTGTGTCGAGATTAGAAACTGAATAAAATGGGAATAATGACGTACCTGAGACTATCTTAACCAATGCTTTCTTAATCAGTCAGGCGTTAATTGCTCTTCAGCAACTCCTTGGTACGGTCTCTCAATGCAATACATGATGGTTTTCGATTGTGTCGACGAGAACGCCGTTCTAGTCTAGAGCACATGTTCACTCAGGTAGTCAACATCCCTTGTTCACTTCCCTATACCAGGGATTTTAGATTTGCACGTCGACATAGTAGACTGCTACGTGTCAAGTCCTTTTAAGGCACTAATGATGATTTCAGGCACCGAAGTGCCTGAATACCTGAACATTTTGGAGATGACGTATCAGAATATAATTCTATTTGATAGCAGGTGCCCGAATATATTTCATATTATTTATACCAAAATTATTTTTTTGCACGTTCGTTCGCTTTACTCGCTCGCAACACTTAGAAACAGGACAATTTCGGGCAACAATATGCCCCCAAACCCTCATAATCATAAATATCTGTTCGTTGGCGGGTGCCTGCATACATCATATCTTATCTAGTGTCGTGATTACACTTTTTTGGTTAAATATTCAAGATGTCACTTTTGTCATGCTCTCTAGTTGTAAAGAGAAACTTACAAAATAATAAAACATTAGGAAAAAGGTCAATTGATTCCTTTCACAATGCATTCTGTAGCCGAGGGGCAAGAGTGGTATAGGCATGCACATCCTAGATGTTTTACAAATCCAATCCAATAATGGATCTAATTGATTATGACTCTCTCATTTGCAAACATTAGCCGTGTTCACACGATGGCAATTTTGGTCGGCGTGAGCCGTCAGGGTCAGCATAGTCACCGTCTGAACGATAGTCGTGTCAACTACACAGACCTTTACCCCGACTGATTTACTCCCGGATTTTCCAGGAGTAACACGCTAACACGACTAGAGGGTTGCGTAAGTTGACCGTATGGATGCTCTCACTCAGCACTCGGAATACATGTGACCTTTTTACAATGATTGTATGACCTAACCTTTACAACTTCCGGGGTCAAACCTACTCTCTTTTTTTTACCACATGCGAGTTATTTGATGCCTCAAGATTAATTTTCAGTTTTGCAGAATTATGTTTGTTTTACAATCGAAAATGAAAATTAGATTTCGCTTGGTTTAAATGCGGAAGCTGGGTTGATAGGAGGTCGACTAGTGCCGGCGCCACCATCTCCTGGTTAAGTTACGCTGAGTAAGACTGGGTCAGTGGAAGATCGTGGCAAGCTGGTCAAAGTAAGAGCACTTCAGTTTAGCTCAGTTTATAAAAAAAACACCAGACATAGCAATCATGAAACAAACAAACAAAATCCAAATTAGGACCCCAAAAAGCTATATTGCTCGAGCTATGACAATGTTGAACGAGTTGGAGACGATTCCAATATTGTCATAGCAAGAGCAATATATTCTTGGAGAACACGAAAACAAAGCCACATAATATTATTATTTTTATCTATATCAGGCTGACTAGCGAAATAACAAATTTGACTTACGTCGGTAAATATGACTTTTTGTGTGTTTTTTTGTTTTCATAGGTTTTTATTCATTTCTCTCAAAGAAAAATTGTACATTTATAACATTGGATACAAAATAACAAAATAATTTAACATAGGTCTTTATAAATTTACCAATGATCTTTTACATTTACATACAAAAGTTACACCTCTTCATTTTCCTTTGGAGACATCAACATCAACATTGCGTGATATCAACATCGATATCGATAGTTCAAGTTCCCGGATGACTGAGTAATACGGAAACAATATTGGTCAGTTATCCGGGTACTGCGCTAAATATATTGAATACACTGATTTATTATAACCAATTGGAAGCCTTATATAGATAATAAATAAAAAAAAAATATAAAAAAATATAAAAATAAAACAACAAGAGACCTACATTTCCTACAAGATTACAGGATTACAGTTTCTGTTTTTTTCTATATAATTATCACATTGATACTGTCAACTCCTGAGTTTAAGAAATGTAACATACACGAGTGTTCTTTAATAAAACATGTTGATTTCTTGTTTTATTGTTCAAGATTTTTGTTTTACTGAATTACCAGGATGTAGCTAAACAATGTACTGAATTATACAGTATCGTACACTGTTATAGCCGCACCTTAACCCCGATGATATAGTGTAGTTGAGTACTCCAAATTATAACATCTAAATTTACAAGAATCCGTTACTAGTTATGATTAATTATTGTTGACATAATTTTTATTTAATTTCCCGGAAAAAAACCTTCCCGAAATATTCAGAATCTAAAATTCAATTTGATTGTACATGTTTTACAGGGTCTCCAAGTGCAACGTTATTTTAATACTGAAATCGTAAACATATAAATATAAATTATCATATAAGAATGTATAACAAAAATAAGATCACGCACCTTCCCACTATAATATTATGGTCCTCAAATATATTGAAAACGTCGACAGGGAATTTTGATAAATGGGTATTTTTGTATCCTCTTATGATAGGCATGACTTAAAAAAAAAAAAAATCCTGAAATCTGATAAAAGCTCATTGATCCCCTTCTACTACAATTATGTAACAGAAAAATTACAATTCGAAAATGGAGAGAGAATGGCGTAATCTGCCTTTTTATGTGCAGTCATTATAACTTAAACCAGATAAAATCCCTGCTAAGGCTTTACTCGTACTAAGTTGTAGTGTTAAAGAAAGAATCCTCATAAGTAAAGAAAGGTTTCAGTCAATGGAGAATACCTAAGAAGTAGAAAAAGGGAAAGTAAGAAGGAGAAGAAGAAGAAGACAAATGAAAAAGAGAAGAAGATGGATAAGGAGATGAAAACAGATGGAAAGTAGAAAAAGGAATAAGGGAGAAGAGTGACAAGGGATGGGCTGCAAGAACGCATTCCCAAGGAACGTTCTACTCTAATTATCACGCATAGCGCATCCATGCTTCAACAAGTCAAACGACATTTACTCAGTCAATATGCTAAACTGACTCCTAACCAACTCCAAACCGACCGATTTCTCGGCCATCCGGTTACATGATTTTTTGCCAGGTCTATATTATATCTGATGTTGGTCTCGTCGATGTGACTAGGAAAACAGTAGGCCTACATGTATTTGAGTGACGAACTCAAAATGTGCTCGTGTCATTTCGTGAGACAACATTTTGTCTACCGCCATCATTACTAATTATTGTTATATCATTACACTTGGTTCATTCGTTTGTTCGTTTGTAATTGTTCGTTGTTCGTTCCTTCGTTCCTCTGTTCGCTCCTCCTTTCGAAATTCGATCGTTCGTTTTTCGTTCATTCTTTCGTTCATGTGTTCATGTGTCAGTCATACGGGAATGGTGGTTGAAAACCAGCCGACTGTGGCTTCACCAAGCCTTTAAAACCACTGTAGATGCTGCATATTAAGACAAAAGAAGGAAAAAGAATGAATAACACGGGATAATGCTTGCAAGACGTACATCCATCATCACAAGCAATACTGATTGATTTGTCTTTTCAGCTAGAAAAGCTAGAATTAAACTAGAATTAAAATTTAATGAAGTATTCTTAATAATACTAGAATTTACTGACTGTCTAATGGTATTCATCTTGCCATGAGCATTTATATCTCGTTTCAGTCACCGGGAACTGCGGGACAAACAGCTGTTATTCAACAATGTTTATATACATAAATGTTAAGAGCAACATAAATGATACTGATTAATTATATAGAATCACATTGTATGGTTATCCAGAAGTCTAAACAAACATAAATAGATATATACAAAAATGAATAGACAAATACGTAAGAAAAAGTAAATAATAGATAAATGAATAAAACAATATTAAAAAATGAATGATAAGGCCTAAATTACACTACCTCAGTATCCACGAAATGATTTCATCATACCCGCATTTTCAATGGCTTTTTTTCTTCAAAAGTATATCGATTTCGAGCAGAAGTATTGTATTCGTAGAAGAATTTGTCGAGAAAAAGCTATTATTTGTTTTATATTTTGGGATTCATGGGAAAAAAAAGGGTGATGACCTTTTATTTGGATATGTCTTTGTTTGTATTCTTACTCCTTTCCTCCCTCCATCTCTCTCTCTCTCTGATTCTCTGTATGTCTCTTTCCATCTTGCCCTCTTTCCAACAATTCTACTCTTTTCCCTGTATTCTTGACCTCCAATTACGACAACCATTGTTCCGTAATTAAGAATGACTGTATCAAGTGTCATATTAAAAGATGATTATTTAGTCAATCAATTCACTAACGTAATATGTAATTAAAAATCTTCTTTTCCTCTAGACTGTCACACCTCTGCCTCTTTATCGCGGTTTCTTTATCTCTCATTTCTGTCTCGTTACTCCCCCCCCCCCTCTCTCTCTCTCTCTGTTTCTCTCCTTCATATCATTGTTTGTCGTAGTTTTGTAAGATATTCTGTTTTGTGCTGCCATGTGAATATGTTAATAAATATCTTTTCATTTGTTTTTTTTTTTTTTTTTCGCTTGTCACAGAATTGTAATACATAGTGATCGTAACATTTTACTTTCAGCACCCTGCAAGCCGAAACAAAATAGTCCTACCGAGGTTCCTCAGATGCCACGGGGGCTCTTTTAGTACTGACGGGGGCTCTTTTTTATACAAATATCCATTGAATTGGTACCTACGATACTCCTCAATTATTTGCTATTTCATCATTATCATTTCAATCAGCATTTTCCCTCTTACAAATTTACAAGCTACATAGCTGTTACTGGCCTGTGTATATAATTATATACGCATACAACACTGATCTTTATGATGTCTTTAATGCGACATAGCTTCTTCTCCCCCTGCAAACAAAAAAGAAAACAAGGTTATTTAATAAAAGGATCATGTGACAAATAATCATTGTGATTCAAATTGATGCGAATATTTGTTTGAATAAGCACTGCTATTCACCCGAATCTTCTTTGTAAAAACAACTTTTACAAATCTCATCCATGCTTTCTGAGTTGTGACGTTCCATTCAATGTAAAATACTCATTATAGAATACACTTCTCCTAATCTGAAAGTGATCTTACAACACAGTGGCAGATTTGCATGGCTGAGATTTGTAAAAGTCGTTTTTACAAAGAAGATTCTGGTGAAAAGCATTGCTTATTCAAAAAAAATCCTTGCATCAATTTGAATCACAATGATTTTTTGTCACATGATCCTTTTATTAAATAACCTTGTTTTCTTTTTTGTTTGCAGGGGGAGAAGAAGCTATGTCACGTTAAGAAATCATAAAGATCAGTTGTATTATGCGTATATACATATGATACCAGAACAAAATTAATGTTGATTATCAGAATGTCATTTTGAAATACCTCATAGTCTTTAGCCCGTAGCAAATCTGCCACTGTGTTGTAAGATCACTTTCAGATTAGGAGAAGTGTATTCTATAATGAGTATTTTACATTGAATATAACGTCACAACTCAGAAAGCATGGCTGAGATTTGTAAAAGTCGTTTTTACAAAGAAGATTCTGGTGAAAAGCATTGCTTATTCAAAAAAAATCCTTGCATCAATTTGAATCACAATGATTATTGTCACATGATTCTTTTATTAAATAACCTTGTTTTCTTTTTTGTTTGCAGGGGGAGAAGAAGCTATGTCACGTTAAGAAATCATAAAGATCAGTTGTATTATGCGTATATACATATGATACCAGAACAAAATTAATGTTGATTATCAGAATGTCATTTTGAAATACCTCATAGTCTTTAGCCCGTAGCAAATCTGCCACTGTGTTGTAAGATCACTTTCAGATTAGGAGAAGTGTATTCTAATATGAGTATTTTACATTGAATGGAACGTCACAACTCAGAAAGCATGGCTGAGATTTGTAAAAGTCGTTTTTACAAAGAAGATTCTGGTGAAAAGCATTGCTTATTCAAAAAAAATCCTTGCATCAATTTGAATCACAATGATTATTTGTCACATGATCCTTTTATTAAATAACCTTGTTTTCTTTTTTGTTTGCAGGGGGAGAAGAAGCTATGTCACGTTAAGAAATCATAAAGATCAGTTGTATTATGCGTATATGATACCAGAACAAAATTAATGTTGATTATCAGAATGTCATTTTGAAATACCTCATAGTCTTTAGCCCGTAGCAAATCTGCCACTGTGTTGTAAGATCACTTTCAGATTAGGAGAAGTGTATTCTATAATGAGTATTTTACATTGAATATAACGTCACAACTCAGAAAGCATGGCTGAGATTTGTAAAAGTCGTTTTTACAAAGAAGATTCTGGTGAAAAGCATTGCTTATTCAAAAAAAATCCTTGCATCAATTTGAATCACAATGATTTTTTGTCACATGATCCTTTTATTAAATAACCTTGTTTTCTTTTTTGTTTGCAGGGGGAGAAGAAGCTATGTCACGTTAAGAAATCATAAAGATCAGTTGTATTATGCGTATATACATATGATACCAGAACAAAATTAATGTTGATTATCAGAATGTCATTTTGAAATACCTCATAGTCTTTAGCCCGTAGCAAATCTGCCACTGTGTTGTAAGATCACTTTCAGATTAGGAGAAGTGTATTCTAATATGAGTATTTTACATTGAATGGAACGTCACAACTCAGAAAGCATGGCTGAGATTTGTAAAAGTCGTTTTTACAAAGAAGATTCTGGTGAAAAGCATTGCTTATTCAAAAAAAATCCTTGCATCAATTTGAATCACAATGATTATTTGTCACATGATCCTTTTATTAAATAACCTTGTTTTCTTTTTTGTTTGCAGGGGGAGAAGAAGCTATGTCACGTTAAGAAATCATAAAGATCAGTTGTATTATGCGTATATACATATGATACCAGAACAAAATTAATGTTGATTATCAGAATGTCATTTTGAAATACCTCATAGTCTTTAGCCCGTAGCAAATCTGCCACTGTGTTGTAAGATCACTTTCAGATTAGGAGAAGTGTATTCTATAATGAGTATTTTACATTGAATATAACGTCACAACTCAGAAAGCATGGCTGAGATTTGTAAAAGTCGTTTTTACAAAGAAGATTCTGGTGAAAAGCATTGCTTATTCAAAAAAAATCCTTGCATCAATTTGAATCACAATGATTATTTGTCACATGATTCTTTTATTAAATAACCTTGTTTTCTTTTTTGTTTGCAGGGGGAGAAGAAGCTATGTCACGTTAAGAAATCATAAAGATCAGTTGTATTATGCGTATATACATATGATACCAGAACAAAATTAATGTTGATTATCAGAATGTCATTTTGAAATACCTCATAGTCTTTAGCCCGTAGCAAATCTGCCACTGTGTTGTAAGATCACTTTCAGATTAGGAGAAGTGTATTCTAATATGAGTATTTTACATTGAATGGAACGTCACAACTCAGAAAGCATGGCTGAGATTTGTAAAAGTCGTTTTTACAAAGAAGATTCTGGTGAAAAGCATTGCTTATTCAAAAAAAATCCTTGCATCAATTTGAATCACAATGATTATTTGTCACATGATCCTTTTATTAAATAACCTTGTTTTCTTTTTTGTTTGCAGGGGGAGAAGAAGCTATGTCACGTTAAGAAATCATAAAGATCAGTTGTATTATGCGTATATACATATGATACCAGAACAAAATTAATGTTGATTATCAGAATGTCATTTTGAAATACCTCATAGTCTTTAGCCCGTATCAGTATTAGTTTGATCCAATATAAAGCTATTAATCTTTATCTAATTCAGTATAATGCTTTTCCTTAAAAATTGTTTTGCTATTTTTTTAGGGTTGAGACGCTAAGAAATGGTTTCAAATGTACATTACACGAACCCTGAACCATTGCAAAATGATGGTGGTTCTCTCTCTCTCTCTTTATTTTAATCATGCATTATCAACTACATATAAAGTAGCAACCAAAAACTTAGGGTTATCTGAGATAGGTGAAAGTAAGAGTTAAAAAGAAAGTCATGCTAAAACGGCGCTTCACTCCCCCCCCCCCCTGAAAAAAATAAAATAGATTAGTAGTCCTCCTCTCCAGCATCTCTCCCCCCCCCCCCGGTTTAATGTCACATTTTCACTTGGCAGCCCAAGGGGGCCGGGAGGAGGGGGTTAAACCCCCTAACCCCCCCTAGATCTGCCCATGTTACCATATCATTCCACGACATCTTGGTCTTCCTCTTCTTCTCAATACGGACTTTTAGATTTGCGTGGACGTGGACGTGTTACGTCCTTTTAAGGCACTGGCAGCCACACGTCACGTCCTTTTAAGCACTGGCACTGCCTTAAAAGGAGGTCACACGTTGCAGTCCACGTTCTCATCGTGCAAATCTAAAAGTCCCTAATATTGATTTACTGGTCGAGTTTCAGTATTTGCTGGTCACTTGAAATCACCAGATTTCAGCGGGTTAACGCTTTCACAACGAAAAACTTCTCCATGACCATGTTTCTGCCCTTGCGCGATCGCCTCCAGCTCCAGCAGTCATGGCGCGGCAGCGTGCACACGTACCGCTACTAACGGCGCAGTAGGCCTATAACCACTGATGACGGCAGCACTGCACTGCGAGCTGAATCGGTAATAACTAGGCCATCATGCATGCTAATCTAAGTTCCATTTCATTAGTTTAAGGTTTGAAAATTGAAACTCAATATTGTGTTAGAGTTATAACAGAAAAGATAATCTTTATTTTATAATTCCACGGGGGCGATTTTTAATTTTGCAATCGTCCCCGTGAGCAACCTGACGGGGGCGATTATGTAGCTCACGGGGGCGAATCGCCCACCGCCCCCGTGTATTTTGAGCGCTGCTTGCGTAGGATCGTGTTCGGACGGAAGGAACGCACGATTCAAAGCAATCGGTATTTACTGAGACTTTTGGAATATAACAATTTGAGGTCCCACTCCATGTGTACCTACCTATACCCATCCGTTGTCCGTTTCCCCTACCAACGTAAACATATCCTAAAAGGATCTAATCCTGTCCACTAATAAACCAGTCCATCTCATGAAATGGTCAAAGGAGTGCAAACATTTGGATTGGGGGTCCGCTGCGTATCTTTTGTTCCAAAAGTCACTTTTAGGTCTTCCCATAAGAGACCTTACGACAGGGAGGAAGGCAGAAAACAAATAAGGTTTCCAGGTTTTCATCGAGTGAAAGTCTAGCCTCTGTCGTCAGTGATGAATAGCAGGTGATTATACACGCCTTGTGTTTTCTAATTTTTAGAGAGTTTTTCTACACAATTTCCTTCAAAGAATTTGGAAATTTGGAGTACTTTTCAACGACTGTCGGAGGGTTATAACTTTCGATTGTCGAGGCATCAACTATGGAATTATGCTCTAGATGATAGTCAACACAAGTTTTGGTTTTCAAAGATGGCGTCTCCCGAAGCAAAAGCTCCGGCAGTTTTCGTTGAAACAATTAAAGATGGAGTTGATGACAACGGTGACGAGGGGCAGATGACCATAATCGTTCCAGGGGGTGAAAGATTCGAAACGGAGAACCGAAAAGATAACATGTTGGATACGTTAAGAAAGATGGGCGGACTGACCCCCAAAGTAACTGTCGGGGAGAATAAGGGGAAGGTAAGACTGAGGTCTACACAAGAACTTCGAGATATGATTGAAAAGAAGAAGAAAGATTCCAAGCAGTCGCCAATACCAGAAGAAGCTGAAGACTCCGACACTCAGGGGAAAGAAAACCTGGATGGTAACGACGACTATCCCTGGCGAAGATTTTCGAATGAGGGGACGCGAAGAGGGGTATATCCTCCCAGATTGAGAAGCAACAGCGATGAAGGGGCTCCACTGTTACGAACAAGCTTCCCTGCTGACGATTACGGTGGTGGATCCAGTCGAAGATTACGAAGTCGACGACGACGCATGTACGCTAAGGACAATGGACTCGAATTCACAGCGGAAGACGAGGAGGAAGATCAAGACGTCGATATACACGCAAGTCGAGTGCGACGGGGAAGCATTATGATCCCGGCGATGACCCCGTTAACACGAAACCGTGGTCGATATCGGAAAGGTAGTCAAGATTTAGCGATTGAAGAGGAAAGCACTTTCGGCGACGATGAGTCAGATATAGGAGGCAAACGTGGTAGTCGATCACAGCTTCTAACCAGTACCATCATGAAGAAAGATCAGGAATCACAAAAGAGACGATCGAGATCACGTCGTACTTCACTTATGCCTCAATCGGAACAAGGTAAACTGCAACCTCCTAGAGGTCGATTTCTGTCACTCCCTGGTTCGTCCAGGAGATCGCGTAGAGGAAGTGTTTCTGACGTTGAAGATGACGAGAACGACGATGATGATGATGATGGACTTGGTAGGCTCAATAAACGGGGTGGATTCTTATCTACTGGTAATTCTAATGAGATACAGAAGACGAACAAGGAACTGAAAGAGGGGATCAGAAGACGTAACAGGGTAAGAACTCTCCCATAACGAAACGCTCCTATTTTGTTTAAAGTAGTCACCCGAAGAATCAAAAATAGTTTGAATTGATGCAAAATTCATATCGATGCGAAGGGGAAGCCTTACTAATCAAATTCCCTCTTCAAAATATGTTTTGGGTCTGCAGTAGTTATCTCTCAAAAATGTTAATTTTGAGATCCAGATTGTCTGCCTTTAGCGGTCCTTCGTAGAGTGTCAAGATTCGTGGCATCACATGCGAGACAGCATTTTACGCCTTTCCATGATATCAATATGATTTTTCAGCAAATTATTCGTGTTTTTTTAAGAGAAAATCTTTCCATCCAAATCAAAAGTTTCATATTGCCTTTTCTCCATGTATTTGCCATCATGCAGACGGAAAAACAAGGTCTAACAAAATTCAAGAATCCTCTTTCAACACTCTAAAAAGAACGGCCATTTTGCTTGAGGCATTTCATTGTAAGATTTCAGCGTTATTATAGGCGACCAAAGGATATATCCAGCGGGAGAAGAATTATAAGTATACATGTCTATAATAATCTACTGTGCAATAGTTTCTATTTTTGGCACGTTTGATACAGTGCCGATGGACATGATGAAAGGGAACGGGTGCACTGTACCCAAACAAATAAGACACAAAAGCGAAAACTTTGTATACCTTGCCAGGCACGTAGCCACGGGGGGGGGGGGGGGCACGTGCCCCCCCTAAATTTCCAGGATCGGTTGCATTTTTTCAGACCCCCTTTTTTTTTTTTTACCTCGATCGATTACATGTCTGTACCCCCCCCCCCCCCCCTCCCCCAAACATCAAACTCTGGCTACGTGCATGCACCTTGCCCGGGGCCAAGGATCAGTTGTATACCATTATACTTAAAATCAGTTTTGGCAAAGAGTAGCGCATTATTACTGTACCATGCATGGGAGCTAAACAAAAAGATTGATTTTGTTTTTGTTTTCATTAAAAAAAAATATATTAACAAAAATACAACATAGGCTAGTTTTATGGTTTTATGCAGGATTCAGATTGACAGTTACTTTATAGGAAGCTCAAGCGCAAGATGATAAGTGATATCTATCCCGTTTGTCTGTCTAAGCGGAAACAAATATACAGCAGCATCAGTCTGTGTGCGCAATACAGCTTCATAAATAAAATACAATCAGACCAGTGTAAAAGTTCATTTGAATTCAATTACATTCCATCAATTTAATTAAGCTGTTTTAAATTAATGGAACTGTGGTTGAAATAGTCTATAATGTTGACCAAGTTTACCCTATAGGCCTATTTAAAATATCTACCATTTACAGAATTTTAACTTCTTAACTTCTTCTTAACAAAATGCATTATTTATTCTTTAATAATTCAATTTAATTTGGATGTCCAATATCTACTCAAGGCAGTAAAACATAATGTTTGCATTTAAATGATCCATTCTTTATATCTTTATACTGATATTGATAGGAATAGGCCTACATGTCTTTTGAAATAAATGTTTTCCTTCTATTATTTTGTTTTCTTAAAATTTAGAACAATTCTCCAACGTGCTAAAATTACGTCTTATTTTGTTTTAAAAATATTAAATGATCGCCAGAAATCAACATCCGGGTCAACAACTGTTTTTGTAATACTATTTATCAAAACGGAAAGGGTAGGGGCGACGGAAAGCATATTACGGAGGTGTCTGCCACTGCATACGAACCATTTATAATTGATGCAAATATCTTCGTGTATAAAGTACAGTATTTAAATCATGTGTACATTGTTTGGCATTAGTAACAGATTGTCATGATTTTTATCCCAAAATCTCACACTGATGATAAGTTTTGAAGGTAAAGGTAAAGACCAGTTATGGTCATGCGATTGCATTGTGAAAGAAACGTTGTGGAATCGATCAGAAAAGGTTGATCATCTAGCATCTAGCATCTGCAAGGTTCTGGAATCATCAAAATGATAAGAAATTTGGCCCATTCTTCGTAAAGTTACAAGCACTATACACAGAAAGATGTATATGGGACTACCCTATATCTCTCACAGACCATGAGAGAAACAAATTTACCAAATATATGAATTAGTAGGCGGTTTCCCGGCAAATTTGTTATCATCATGTATTAGTCAAAACATATTCTTTCACATGATTGGTAATGAGAGCTTCCATTTCATTTTTTGAAATTGGGGCGTTTCCAATACTGGTCTTTACCTTTAAATTTATTGTTACTATCTTTTGATCGAATGAAACCATATGAATACCCTTTCAACTAATCGGAATGACAATTCTCATACTCATGTACAGTGGCGGATCCAGGGAGGGGGCCCCAGTTAAAACAGTTAAAACACGTTAATTTTACCTTTTGGGGAGATAGGCCGCTTCCCCTGGCGCTCAAGGGGGGGGGGGGGGGGGTGCGATTTTTCAAATTTTCTAGAGCCAATAAAAAACTCCCCCCACTGAATGAATTATCGGCCGGCGCGATTTTCAAATTTTTGAATTGGGCCCCCTCTTTGGCCCCCTCCCCTGCCGCGGACTGGATCCGCCACTGCTCATGTACACAATGTTCTTAGAGGAAATTCCAATTTTCTTTTTTTTTTCTCTCTCTCTCTCTCTCTCTCTCTCTCTCTCTCTCTCAATGTTATGACGGTACCCATAGCGTATTGAGGTGCCAATTTGTGCCATCTGTCGACACTGTATGTAATACTCGATATTTTGTATATACGTAGACAATTTGTAAATATATATATATATATATATATATTTGTTCGAATATCAGTATTTATTCAGTTATATTGTTTGCCTTTATAAATTGTGTGGCAAAGCAATAAATAATCAAAGTCTAATTGATTGTGACCTCTTTCCAAGCTGCCAACATATCAGCCAAGGTCCTGAACTATCGTGGAAAAAAATGACGCGCCCTGAACAGAGTCTCAAATTTCATTTTTTTTTTTAAAGGAACATATGAAACTTTGCAAGACTGTCAAGAAAATTGTTAAAATTCAAGGCTCCGGCCCACAGACTCTCGACAAAGGCTCTGCAAAGATAAAAGTGATTCACAAGACAATCTTTTGTTGTATAAAGTTGTTCTTAGGCGATAGTGTGTTTCATGTTAAAACCTTAAATTTTGGTAGGGCAGCTTTCGTCCAACTCCTGTGGATCACTGGAGCGATAGGCGTTAGTGATATTGAATAGCGAGAGTCCCTTTTCAGTAAAGGATTACTTCTTTTCATCCAAATGGAGCTTTTCACCTTTTTTTGACCAGAAGTGCGTTTCAAACTCAATAATGTGGGCATCATCCCATTGAAAGCTGTGCCCAGTAATAAGGACGTGTTCTGCTAACGCTGAATGAGATGGAATGCTAAGTCTGAGCAGGGATATGAAAGTTACCTCCCTGGTCTGAGGTTTGTTTGGTGCTATCTAACAAGAGCGCACAATAAGGACGGTGCAATTTAAATTTCAAGGGATGGATTAGACTTTTTATCACACTACTAAAGCTGAATTACTAAAACTCGAGAGCTCCCGGGGCTCCTACTACTGGATCCATGGCGGGGGCACTGTCCCTGCAACCAACCAGGGACCCTGAGGCGGACCCCTGGTCCCCATCCACAAAGATATAAGTGGTCTTTGATTTTGTTATATTGTGTTATTATTTTTATGGAGATTTTCGGAAATAAAACAAACAAACTAGCACGATAAAGTAGAATATGATTTATTCACAATTATGTTTGAGCTAAACGTCGGTTCCATGTTGAATAGGTTAATCTATAGGGCAAGTAAAGGAAAACAAGATATTGAAAGTCCTTTAGGATTTTTGTTGTTGAAGGTCTTGTTTTGTTTGTTTTTTGCTTTTGCTTTTGTGTATTTTTGTGATCATGTCGATAAAGATATAATTTTGTTAGCAATGAAATCATTTTCCCAAACTAGCATAGCTCATAATTGAATAATAATTTGCATAAAATATCAGAAGAAAGTTTGACTTTGTTGCGATAGCAACTGAGGAAAAGTTGCATTGTTTTTCTTCTTTTTTTTGAAGAAAAAAATATTTACAAAATTAGCAAAACGAGGCGATAGGTGGACGAGGGTGGGAGGACGGCGGTATCCGCTGGCTCTGCACCACGGCCAAGAATTCATGCGCAAGTACAGATATATATAGTATGACAGACACTTTGTGCAATTTATCTGGTTAAGAACAAATTGAAACGAGTTTAATGACAAAATCATACATCGTGTATGACAATGTTACATGCATAACAATGGTAAATATTTTATCAATAAATTTAGAAAAGATATTTAATTATTGATAGACTCAAATTAATCTCAGTCGTACATTTTCAAACCAGATTGGAGATTTCTAAGAAGCATGTGACAAAACGTTAATGAATATTCAGAGTAATACTATTTCTTTGTAGTCCTAAAAGTGGGGATTCCCAAGTTTCACGAGCACGATGATTCAGGCATCAGGCAAAATCTACTTGTTATCGTCGGCATTACAATAACGAACGCCATCTACGTCTCAGTGAAAGCTGATATCAATATGTATAGTAAAATAACACCATTGTATTTCAGTTCATCTTTTCCTTGAATTATGAGGTATATAATATATATACTTCCCTAAATAAAGCTGAATGTAAACGCTGAAAAGGAGATTTTCTTCTCCTTCTTCTCTTGCTTTCTCTCTCTCTCTCTCTCTCTCTCTCTCTTTCTCTCATTCTTTCTCTCCCTCTTCTTCTCTCTCTCTCTCTCTCTCTCTCTCTCCTTCTCCCTCTCCCACCCTTTCTTTCTTTCTGTCTCTCTTTCTTTCTTTTTCTCTTTCTAATCCGAATATATCAAGCACGATAAAGTAGAATATGATTTATTCACAATTATGTTTGAGCTAAACGTCGGTTCCATGTTGAATAGGTTAATCTATAGGGCAAGTAAAGGAAAACAAGATATTGAAAGTCCTTTAGGATTTTTGTTGTTGAAGGTCTTGTTTTGTTTGTTTTTTGCTTTTGCTTTTGTGTATTTTTG